ATGAAGTTATAAAAGCTTATACCTCCAAGGGTCATAAACACTGAGCCTTGATTGAAATCAAATGTATATTTTTAAAAAGCATGTCCAGCATCATAGACTCCTTTCTGTTTTGGCTTTGTTGACACTAGTCATGGTATAAAAATCTGATCAGGAAAGGTTTGCTGTTTTTACTGCTTTGAATATGAAGTTGTGCTTCTCAGCACTCTAAGTAGCTGATTAGGGGAGGGCATAATATTCTACTTGATTATTGGTTACACATATGGAATAAATCCTATTTTAATGGTGTCTAATGAGTCTTTCATTTTCAAAACCTTACATAAAAGCTTCTAATAGAAAGGGAAAGTAATATTTCAAAGGTCATCTTAATGCCACTTAATGTCAACAATCTGTAATCAAGCCAATATATATAGATGGTGATTACAGTCCAGTTGTGATCCTTTAAATATGAAATAATCTCCTAAATTAACAAAGTGGTGCAAGCTAAGGTTCTCTGGGTTTGAGGCAACTTACACTTTTTAATTACGGTTTGTTACTTGGAAACAGCCTTGGAGTTAAAGAGTTTTTTTTTTTCTCTCAGAATGAGGCTTTATGCAGTGCAGTATTTTCAAAACCCATGAGATTTAAAGTTCTGTCACTTACAGTTTCATGCATTGTTCTTCTGTGTGTCTGTAAAGCCACTGAAATGTATGATTAGAAAATGATGGCTCCCCTTCAGTGCTTCTTCTCAACAGCCGAATGTAATGAGCATTAGAAATGTGGGGTGTTTTGTTGGTCAGGAGGCCACCAAGGGAACTTGTAGGCATACCTATTTCAGAACAAGACATCTGCTTGGCAACAGATTAAATAGTCAGGCGTTTAAAGAATCTCTAGTGTGAGATCAGTGTTCTGGAATTTTGTCTCATTTGAGGTGCAGATGGAGATAACCCTGCTTTATCCTGGGATGGAGATGTTCCTTTTCAGTCCGGGGCTGTTGCTAGTCTATATGACTGTTGTCCCAATTAGAAATGGATGAATTCTGCAAGATGCTTTATTTTTGCCAGGAGACTTTCTGAAGAAAATCAACAGTGATTACGATATGAATGGCATTCTGAACTCTCAGGCACCTGTAGTAGCATCAGAATCTCCTGGAAGGCTTGTTAACACTCAGATGTCTGGGGCTCCACCCCTAGGGTTCTGTTCTGTGAGTCTGTGGTGGAGCCAGAGAATTTATATTTATGACAAGTTCCCAGGATATGCTGATGCTGCTGGTCCAGGCACCACGTCTTTGAGAATCACTGCTCAAGGTTCAGCAGTATATCTGCCCAACCATATGCACGGACCTTGCTTCTATCGTCCCATGAGTAAAATTTGAGTTTTATTCATCTTGTTCCTCCCAATGCCAATGCATAGTGCCATGCTCATAGGGCTTACTCAGTATTTGTTAGAGAAAAAAAGAATGCTATTAAGATAAAATGACTAATGTGTATCAGACCCCTTTCCCACCACCATTCCCTCCCACATTACCATTCTGCATTTTTCTCTCTTTTTGTTCTACTTTTCCTCCTTCTACTACCCCTCTTCGATTCTGAGAATTTGTTTGTTGTTTTTCTCTCACTTCTTGTATATGGCCTGGGTTTGAACCATAGGCAGCCTCAGGCCTGATGATCCAGAATTGTGTGTGTCACTGGAACCAGGGTTCCTAACTCCACAGTCACTCCAGGAAGACATATCCAGAGACTAAGATATTTGTCAATTTTTGTGTAGAGATTGGTATGTGGCAGTGACCCAAGCAGTCAGGTGACAATTTGGACCTTAGATCTCAGGATATACTTTGCACTTTAGGAGTCTTGGTGAGAAAGCATTTGGCCAAACTGAAGGAAACTCTTCCGCCATGGTCCCTGCTTTCCTACTTTAAATGTTCATTTACTCACTCATTAAAGATTTGGAAAACACGAAAAAAAAAAAAAAAAAAAAAGGAAGGAGAAGAAAACAAGGCATCCATTTACTCAAACACCCAAAGCACCCACCCAGTTTGGCTGTATTTTGTAACAATCTTTTGTAGTTCTACATAAATGTTAAATTTTAATGCATTTGCATTTAATTGTATTTATAAATCTGGGGGTAAAATTGCCTGCAGGAGAGGAAATTCTTTTGTTGAATTACAGGTTTATTCCCACAATGAATGATAATGATTCATTACAAAATTGCTTGCTTTCAAGTTTCATCCAGAGACCATTAGAGAAATGAACAGCACCTAATTTCTCTTCTAGCAGAATTGTTAGTGTGACAAGTTCAGTTAAGTGTGGTTCTCTGCATACTCCTTTGGTGGGTTGGGTGTTAGAAGCCATTTGTCAATTCTTCAGTGATTTTATTGGTATGAGGTTCATGGTTTCTTCCCAGTGAATTTCTTCAACTTGAGTGAGTGATGATGTATAAGCCCCAAAGTACATGAGGTTTCTTTTCTCTTGCCTTTATTAACTCAGTGCAGTCAAACCTCTTCACTCTTAGTCTTTTCACCTGAAAATACTAAAATTTTAGTACAAGTGCTACAAATACTTTTGTCTCCTGGCCTTTCTTGTTACAGAGTAAACATTTGAGATCAGCTGGATTTTCATGATTTTTAAAAAATAGTCTTTTTGTTGTCATTTTTAGTCTGGGTGCCCATAATTTCGTCCATCTTTGCTATTTTTAAAAAATAGTCAGGAAGTTCTCAGATGCTCACTTTTCACTGATTTGCGTGGAATGCAGCAAGCTCTTTGGTCTTTGATTATTGCTTCTCTTAACAATAATAACTAGCAATTTAACTAGACACTTTAATGGACATTTACATGGGCATTTAACTGGAGAAAGTTTAGAACACTAGTCTACAGTTAGTTTATTTCTGATGAAGTGACAGTGGAGTTAGATCTAGGACGTGTCTGGGATCCCTCTCATCACTCTGTGGTAGATCTGGGGGTCTTCTTCACAGAAATCTTGTTACGCTAATCTGGTTCTCCAGGCGTGTTTTGGTGCTGAGACAATACAGTCTTGTTTCTGACCAAGATCTGGGGTGACTAGAGAAGGGAGTGGATGCTGAAGCCTACTCGGGTCTTGGTGTGCACTCCTGGAGTTGGCCCCACGATGATGCCCCCCCCCTCAAAAAAGAGCGTTGCTAGGAACAAGGCTGCAGGCTTGATGGGTAGAATACCACAAGCTCATTTTAGACCCAAGTGTGGTCTACCAGGTGATTCCAAGACAAATAAACTGAGCTCCAGAAGCTTGCAGAGTTATCATTCAGAATGAACCTTAAAAACGGAGATTTGAGTGGCAGAGGTCTCTGAGCCATGAATTGGGATTTCTTTGAGCCTCTGTATTCTCAAACTTGATACCCATTTGAAAACCTGAAGAAATAAACCACTTAAATCCCCTCTCCCTCTAGCGATAAAACAGTGTATGTCTTTTACTCTGTTGAAAAATAGTTGGCTTCGTCAGCAATCATCTTCTGTTCAGGCTAAATTTATTTTTATGTGAAATAGAAATCAGGAAAACACCAAAATTATTTTAAGCAAAATATCAAAATTGAAATAAACCAACATATGTCTGTGAAACATGTATAACTCTCAATCAAAAATAAGTGCAACTTTCACAAATTTCTTAAAATATTCCAGCATGTAAAATCTGGACAACTTAAATAGAGGGAGTTGTGACATGTTTGATTATTCTTTCTCCTTAGTTCATTCTTTACTTAAAGGTAAAAATTCAAATACCCAAAACCTGGCCAGCTCTGTCATCCCTTCATGAACAATATACTCCCTCATCTATTGTAATAAGAGAACCAAATAATTTTATAACATTTCTTGTAGTAAGTTTAAGTTATATCTGCTAATTTTTAATGAAAACCACCCTAAATTGACCCTCTTTACTTCTGTCCTCACCATCAACCCCTATATTCCTAAGAAGTGAGGTTTCTTAATTGCTTTAAGCATATTATGCTGTATTTTGATGGTTTTTCCATGTTTCTAAGTTTTCCTTGCAGTGGAACTCAAATGGCATTAAATTTGTCAAAGTGACATAAATATTCTGGGGCTTAATACCAAAGAGAGAGTTAAAGGATAAATGCTCATCTCACATTTATGCTTCATTTATAGGCTTTCTCTAACACATTTCGTATTAGATTGGAACTTCAAGAATTGAAATTACTTTGACCCTCTAATAGTAGCTAATATTTTGCCCACAGAAGACTTCAAGTAAATATTACCACCAGTAAATATTATTGACAAACCAATGAAGCATTTCTTGAAATCTTTAGCTTTTCATTTTTAATTCTTCTCTTCAAGAACTAGGGTAACAAATTTCTTAAAGTAATAAAAATAAAACTATTACTTTATTTGGAAAATGGTTTAACACTAAATAAAATGTCTTCAAGTTCTAAAAGCATGTTAAAAACTTTATCTCATTAGGCTTGGCATCACCCTGTATGTTAACAAGGTGACTCCTGGGAGTTGAAAACCACTTAAGACAGAGTTAAGAAAGTTTATGATCATAATGATTCAGCAGACACATATCCTTTTCATCTCAGACTCTTGGATCTTCGGGTTACTTTTTTTTCTTGTACATCACTCTGAATTATTTTTGTTAGTTTATTAGTTGTAAAAAGTTTCTTCCTTCCTCGTTCCTTCAATTTAGACCAATTTGGAAATGGAAAACTGTGTTAATTTTTTAACAAATCTTTAAGACACGCATTACTGTATTTTTATTAACTGAGCCAGATGGCTCACAGCAAATTTTCTCTGACATAAGTAATCACAGAAATCAGTTTGGGACCCAAATCTGGTATGGAAAGTGGCATGTATATTCAGTGGAAAAATGCAGTTCACATAAACATATGGATATTTTTAGAAGTAATATTTGTTACTGTTTGGATTTCATTTTATTTTTTTGCTTTAAGCTAAGTACAAACTAAGGACATTTATTTTTCCTGTCCCCCAACCCTGAACATTCAAGGTCCTTCTCAACAACCAAAAATTGTTTTCTTTTTGCAGTTTGAAGGTTGCAAGAAGGCCTTTTCCAGGCTCGAAAATCTCAAGATTCATTTGCGGAGCCACACAGGCGAGAAGCCGTATTTGTGCCAGCATCCGGGCTGTCAGAAGGCATTCAGTAACTCCAGTGACCGCGCCAAGCACCAGAGGACACATCTGGACACTGTAAGAGTGGCAGGAGCTTTCCAACTTCCAGCCCCGAGTCCCGGTGTGAGGAAGTGCCTATTTGATAGTGGGATGGTGAAGGTGTTTGCTTTATGGTCTGCAGGTTATAGGGACAATGCCAAGGGCAGCAGTGAGCCCTGGTGAAGAGCCAGAAAGGGCCCTGTTTGGCTCTTTCCTCTTTTTTCTGTAGTCACAAGTTATCCTAAATATTACAGCTGCCTGGGACGAAGAGAGGCTTCTTGATTACCTGTGTACAAAGCAGAAGCAGTTTAGGGGCTCTCATACAGTAGATTTTAGTAAAGGGAATGACCACTAGAGATTGAACATTAAAATAAAAGTCTTCAAATATCAAGATACACTAAGATAGATAAGATATGCAATTGCTTAAAATAGGAAGCATTTTTTTTTCTTATCCTGATTCTTTTCTTTTTGACCTAAGAACTTTGAGGCTGCCATGATTTTTTTAAAGTGAATCTGGCCTTTTGCTTTAGAAGCCACCTGGTGTTTTCACCTTCAAGTGATCTAAAAAGAATTGGCAAATCTTTCTCAAAGGTTCAGTTTCATCACACTTGCTATGTGTTAACAGCCACATATCTATTGACATAAACCCTATGAGAACAATTGATTTTCATTACTACACCTTAACTCTCTTATTGCTGAAACATTCTGTTCATTTGCTAATGCCCTCTCCATGATGCTTGTCTTTCATTTTCTCCATTACGTTGATCGTCCTTCTATGCATTTCTCAGGTTTTCGTCCCATTTTCTTTACATGAGGCCAGGTAGGCTATATGTAATTTTTGGTCACTTAACAAAGCCACCAGGATAAATGAATTATACACATCGCAGATCTTTTATCCTACGTTCTTTATAAATAATGTATTCATGACAGTACTTTTTCAGTGTTAACATTCTGATGTCTATTATTAAACTACACCAGAATTTGAATTTTGAAAAGATACTGTTATTTTTACACACCTTCTCATACATATTTAAGATTCTTCTGATGTTATAGTTGACATATTTATTAAATTTTATATTAATCTCTATTAGTCATATCGATAGAAGTCATTTTAGCTATATGTCACATAACCTTTCTAAACAGAATTATCTCCTAATATACATAAATGTGATAGTTTGCCTAGTAAATATCTGAAATATAATTAGAGTAATATGGGTGTAAGTTGGACCCTTTCTGCTCTAGCTGAATTGAATTCAGTGATTTTAGGAATAACAGAATGGAATATTACATGAATAACTTTGGTGAATAGCAGTATTTCTTAAAGGTAGAAATATGAAAAAAGAATAAATTATGTTAAAATGCCCTATTTTGTATGTCTAAAGTGCTCTTGGTAGAATCTAATAAATTTTCCAATTTGTCATTAAACTTTATCATGGAAGAATGAACATTCATGAGACAAGATTGTCTTGAGAAATTGCTTCTACTCTAGCTAGTTATCTGTAGTTTGAAAGAACTATTGTGAGGCTAAGTGTTATGGTTCTACAATACCTTTCTTTGCTTGGAGCTAATTTTAGCTAATCAAACTAAGAGCATTTTGTAAAATCATTTTGGAATTTTAAAAATACATCCTTTTTAAAACTTTTGAGGAAAGCTACCTAAGATAATAATTTCATGATTCAGTTCAATGCAGTAGCCTTTAAAACTTAGCTATTTTTGTTTTTAAAAAGTATTTCTCTATTAAATCTGTTAAACCCATCATTTTAACCCAAACTACCTTCTGTTTAAATTTTTATCACATTTAACAAATTGGTAAGCTCTTTTAAAATCTTTTAAGATTTTAAGATATTAAACATTTATTTTAAAAAGCAAACTGGAATTGCTTGAAGAATTTGTTATTTAAATTTAGGTCCCCATTCTCTTTCATTAAGCACTCCTTACGCTAATGCTGTCGGAATTTTGGATAAAGTATCTTTTTCAACTAAATGGATTCTTTATTTATAGGAAAATGATTTCCCCGTAAAGATTACTGAGTTCCTAATTCTAACCCTGAAAAATGCTATTAATTCATTTCTATGCTAGCATTTTAATATCTAAACCGGGGAGATAATTTTACAGTACAAATGGAAAATTTTAAAAATATAGTTTGATGAAATCTAGCATGCCATTAAAGTTTACGTAATCTGAGTTAAAATGACCAGTACACCAGTACCGCTCAGACCACCCTGGCTTTGCTATTTTGGCATACTAATCCCAGCTGGCTGATGGCAGGGGGAGTGTGAAAGCTAGCTGGGAGAATGTTCAGTATTCAAGACTTCTTCAAGAACATCTCTAAGTCAAATATGAAATGACATTACACATTTCTTTTCAACCCAAATAATGGTGACCATGGGGTAATAATGGAATAAATTTATATAACACAGTAATATTCCCAAAGATTTTTACGTGCAGCATCTCCTCTAATGCTCAGAACATGATCTTATGTGATCACAACATGACTGCCAATAAAGATATTGGCTAATTGCCCCCTAACACTGGGGCAGGTTAGGGAAGACTAGGGCAAAAAGCCATGTGAACCTAGAAAAAATTCCCAGGTTAAAAAAAACCTTTGCTTATCCAGTGGAAACTTCATTGGCAAGTGACTTCAGCCCATAATTGGCTCATCATTTTGCAAAAACTGTGACCTGTTGAGAGTCTTGTTCATCCATTGTTCATTGTTGGATCCCTAATATATAATAAAATGCCCAGCACCTTATGGAAGCAAAATTGCTGCTGGGTGATTCATTTAATTAGTCCATAAGTCAATGAACAAACACCTAAGATAATCAAACTTACAATTCAAATTGGGAGTGTCAAACTAAATTATGTATTCATGACTTTACCTTGTTCTTGGAATTTAAAAAAAATGACAACAAATAACAACAACAAAAAAAGTGAATCATATGTATGGTTTCCAGCAGGGCAAATAGTATCATCAACATATATGTTAGCCCACAAAATGATAAGCAAGCACTTGAAAACAGGAACAAAATATAAGCAGTAAGGGAAAATATCTGAAAAATTTTGATGGGGGAGTCAATAGAATAGCAGATTTCTAAAGCCAGAATGCGTTGTAGAGTCAGAGGCTCAGTTCTCCTACTTACATTTCACCTCGTGCAGGCACAGCTTTAATATCTCACCCGATGAGATGCTAAGTGGATGAATGACTGTTAATACATCTTACAAACACAGTTAATCTTGTATTTTTTTTTCAGTTTTAGAATAAGCAGATTTGTATTTACTTCACAAGTTAAAAGCCATATTCTTAAACCCTTGGTTTGGATTTTGTTCTTACAGTAGGCATAGTAGCTAAATCTTGAACCAATGTGTAGTACTCTCATTCATTCATTCCTAATTATCATATTCCAATCAGCAGGGACACAAAAATAAAAAGGAGTCTAGACTGCCTTCGACTCCAACCTCATATCCTCTCAGGCACATGGGGGAACCAGAGGAGCCAAAACTTATGTTCTCATCATGCTCAGCCAAGGGCTTATTCACCTAACCCACGCATAGCACCACGACTCCTCTACAACTAATAATATTAATGTTTCTCTGCCTGATTTTTCATGTGTCTGCTGTTTGGAACCTACTGTCTTTTACTAACTTTCCATTAATTTTGCCTTTTAATTCTCTCCCTCTCTCTTTTTGAATCAGGTTTCTTCTGAAACATTCCCAGTCTTTTCTGGACTTTCCTACTGCTTCTTTGTACCTGAACTCTTAAAGAATATGTGTTTCCTAATTTCTGACAGCACCAGAGATTGTTTTCAGGGGAACATAACTGTAAGTATGGCTGGAGATACTTAGTAATAATTTCCATATTAAACAATGCCACAGAAAGTTTCGTGGTAAAAGTGCAGTCTACAGCAACCTCTTAAAAATCATCAAAGATAAGACATCTCTTTGTTTCTTGAAAGTTTACTCTTCTCTCTGCTTTGATGCAGACTTACTGGCCTTGCTAATGAAAATGCATGAGGATCACCGAGCATTTCACCTTGGGCAGTTGGTAACAGTTCATGCTCTGAAGACAGTAGTCTTTGAGTAAACCTTCCCCAGTTACCATTATGATTTAACCACAACTGTTTCTTTTTTTCTTTCTTTCTTATTTAGAAACCTTACGCTTGTCAAATTCCAGGATGCACCAAACGCTACACAGACCCAAGTTCTCTAAGAAAGCATGTGAAGGCACATTCTTCTAAAGATCAACAAGCAAGGAAAAAGGTAATTTTAAAAGAGAATTTATCCAGCCAGGAAAAGCACATTTAAATTCCTCTTGCAATACTAGGAGCTTCTGCAGGGCACTGGTAATTCTACTTCTCAAGTGTAACATGTTTTAGACTCTTTAACTAGAGAAGTCTTCCATGAAGTGATAGCAAGGCTATGATTTGCATAACTGATATAACCAGATATGAATTTCTGGGAAAAGTTTGTATAATAGGAGTTTGAGAAAATTAGTGAAAGTCACCTAAACTGGGAAGTAACAAAATTAAGTCCAAATTGCTAAAGAAAGTTGAATTGGGGAATACAGCACAACAAAATGCCTTTCTGGAGATAAGCGCTTTTTCTTAAAATATCAACTGGCAAAAATCATTAGCTCTGATGAAGAAGGTAGGTCGTCTCTAGGAAGAGTAAGTATAGAGCATTCCTTCCTTTAAGCGTAGGAAAAACACATTCCTTAACAAGTACTATGTATGAAAGCTTGAGAAAGGAATTGAACCTAAAATTGCTTTGACATCAGTGAGGGCTTAGTTCATCTGTCAAAGTTCATGGAAATTATAGTATCTCAGATTCGGAGGAGATGTTAAAGATCAACCTGCCAACCCACATGACTTGCTCTCCTGACCTCAGAATGTCTCCAGCAAGTGGTTGGCCATGCTGTGCTTTAACACCTTTAGAAATGAGGAGCTTACTACCAGGGGTTAGCACAGTGCCAGTTGAGGGCTCATATATGGAAATAATTTGACCTCTTCCCCATGAGTTAGTAAAATGCCCAGTTAGACGAATTTGATAGATATTCTTAATAGCATACAAACCCACTCTTGTAAGTCAATTGTGAAATCATTTATTTTTTTCTCTGTATAAAATAGTTGTCTCTTTAATTGGAATTCAAGAGATAAAACTGATAACAGGTGATCATTATCAACAGATGATAATAGATGATTATTCAACATGATTGAATTCCAGTGTTTTAAAATAGAAAAGGAACTGCTAAGTGAATTAATAATATAAATAAAATTGTAAGGAGGATGCTTAATAATCTTGAAATAACACACCATTGTTACATACTGTTAACTGTTCAGCAGGACTACTGTCTGAAATGGTTTTTGTCGGTATCTGTGTATATCTTACAAACTTGAAGTAATGAGTTGTGTTTGTTAAAAATAATAATAATAAACTCTCTTGCTGAGAGCTTTTCCTCCTAAATCTGACCATTCTCCATCTCCAAATTGTCCCAAATGTGGGAGATTTTACTATAATAGCAAATCTGTCATGAGATTGAAGAGCATCTTCTTGGAAAGGAACAGTTGTTATGGACATGACGGAATGTAAGTCCCATGTCTAGATAAATAAACAATATGATCTTCAACTTAAAACGGTAACCCAGGTTGACAGTAGGTATGAAAACATAATGGATATTTTCAGGAATTAGTAATGGTTTCTATTGTTCAAACACAGTATGTTTCAGCCTCTTTATAAAGGAAGAGTAGTTTTAATTATGTGAAAGATTCTTGAAGTGCTAATTTAAAAAAGAAAATCAGACCTTAAGAATACAAAATGTAAATTTATAGGCAATTTGCAGACAACCTTCAATAGGCAACCCAGATAATAAGGATATACTTTCAAGGAGCAGGAGTGTTGTAATCTAATGTCAAATTTTACAATAGTCTGTCGAATTTTTTCTTATGTAAAATGATGCATTGTCTCTCCAGTGATTTAGCTTTTGATGTTCACTTGTTCGCTCTTTTTCCTGCAAGTGGTTGAATTAGATTTGACTGACTTTCATTGCCTAGTCTTCAGTGACAAGTTTACTGTGTTTACTTTCTGAATTTTAACCTGTCCTTTTAATCTGGAGATTTAAAAAATCCTGTGTGGATCTGTGATGGACTGATTTGTGGAAATTAAAACGATGACAGTTGCTCCATCCAATAAAAAGAGTAAATCTCACTCCTAGGAGAAGCAGTGCTAATAAACCTGAAATCAGTCAACCCACATTTTTAAACCTTGCACTGGTATACCGGTGTGTAATATTTACATGGTATAATATAGTTACTAGCCCTCAGAGAGATTCTAATTGCTAACTCACATCAGGGCTTGGTATTTGAAATATTTCCTGGCAGCAATAATAAAAAAAGTAAGAAACAATAACCCTTTTAAGGCAGAATTAAGATTATTTATGACTTTAATTAAAAATTGAAAACTGGCATCATTTCAAAAAGCCTCTACAAAAATGTGAATTCATCAAAAATAACCATAAAAATTCCAAGGTGATAAAGGCACAGTGGAGTAATGGTCCCAGCCCTAGGGAATTGTTTTGTTGAAAAGAATAAAACCCTTTTCTGTCACACCCTGTTAGTCATGGACTTGTTTAATATACCCTGCCTGCCTGCCTGCCTCTAATCCTCTTTCTAACCTCCCCCTAGACACTAAATGACATTATTTTGGTCTTAAAGTAGCTGGCTTTGTGAAGCCTTTCTCTGAAATCAGGGCCAGTGACAAGGCACCCTCACCCGTAAGACGGATGTTTATCAGGAGAGGTAGTGATCTCATAAGTGATGCCCTGGTGGTGGGCATGTAGCCCTTTCCCACACCTGCTGGATCCTACTGAAAACCAAGAACCTGAAGTCTCAGCTAAATGTTATTCAAGCGGTGAAAAGAAAGAAAAAGAAAAAACTTTTCTGCAAAGGAATTGGGATAATTTGACTCACTGCATGTATAGAGTAACTTTTCTCTTTGTCTGGTGTTTGCACACCCACACATCCCATCAGCTGATGTACAGACTTCTTCCATCGAATGTGCTTTGCAGATCTTGAGTCCATTAAATAGAGGGCTACACAGATAAATGAGTAGCAAAATACTTAAGTCACCCGCTATGGACTCCAGTGAGAATAGAATTTAGCCTGCAGAGCAAAAGGCAGAATCTGTCCTTCAATTCTCTCTGATAATGAGTGGTGAAATAAGAGAAAACTGAGGTAGTAAGCCACTTGAAATTTTCCTCAAGGCTGTGAGCTTTATCAGAATTTTTCATTTTCACCTTGGAAGTGCCGTAAGCAGGGAGGTTTCCTTCAACTCTGGCCTACTATCAAAATGGACTTTTTTTAAGTGAACGCAAAGAATGCTGGGCCAAAAGATAGAGATGATGTGAATCTTTCGTCCATTTTACACTTCCACAAAGATTCCAAACTTTGGGTGTGATTTGTTAAATGTTTGTTAAACATTCGCCTTTGACCCACCGTGGCTGATGACTTTCACTTTTGTGACATCAGCACAGGCTGTTTCAAACCAAGCAAGCACAGCATTTGGAATGTATATGAATGCAACATGTATTTGTATTTCCTACTTTAGAGAACAGCGTTGTGTAGCTTTCTGGCCAAAATAGAGCTACTTATTTAATGCAACTCTCCTTATGTTGAACTGGTGATTCTTTGAAATCTGTTCAGAGCCTCCACCATCCCATATGTACTCAAAAACTATAAAGAATTCCATTAAGCACAGCTTAGGCTCACCTAGCTTTGTGCAGTTTTTGGAATCTTTAAAAAAAACCTATGTGAAAAAAAATATATTTTCCCCTAAACAAAAGCATGTATCCAAGAGCTAGTGAGGCTCACGTTTCTGTCAGTTGTTTTCTGTCATTATCTACATGGCAGAAGGCAGGTACACATGGGGACACAATCAGAGACCCTCCCAGATTTTGACATCATCTTTTCCTTCATCATTCCTTCCTTCCTTCTTTCCTTTTCACTCTGTTCAGGAATAAATTAAAAATTATTCCAGCTCTTAAAGGAATGTCAGTAATAGACACATATTACCAACATATTTCAAGATGAATTGGCAGCTCTCCTTCCTCTCACATTCAGGAAATCACATTGGAATTCAAGTAAGAATGATGCTATTACAGGGATTACGTTAAAATGGCACTAATTTTTTGTTAAGTGAGTCACTAACTTCTCTACTTTAACAATTGTTGGTGACAAAGTACTTACATCACACCTCAGAATGATGGTGAGACATACTACCTGCCTGAATGTCCAGATGTCTCAGTTGAGGGTAATGGATTTCAAGTAAGGTACTGGGTATGCTTTTGTGAAACAAGAAACTTTGGTTCAAAATAGTGGTGCTAACTAGTAACTACATTTAAATGAAAAAAAAAAGTCAAGTTAAGAAGTTGATAGTACTGATTTAGAGTTGAAACCAGTTGCCAGGAGGCTTCTATTTTAAGTAGATCCAGTATGAAATCAGCTATGCTTTTAGGAACATTTTGATGCTACTTGATGATTGGAGCTATTAAAAAGGAACTGAGAATTTACATTTGGGTGTGGGGAAGTAGAGGGTAAGGGCAGTTGCCCATGAGATGAAATAGTGAGAAAAAGCTTGTTCCTTTCTGGAGAGAACAGATAAGCTGCCTTGAGCTTTGAGAATACAGAAAAATACATACTTACATCTCTGGGCCTAGTAGCCCAGTATCTCTTTTAGCCGTTAAAGCAGTGTTTCCCTAAGTGTGTTCCTTAGAATACAATCTGCAGGGTCTCATTAGATAATACTATTGGAAATTTTTTGTTGTCATAAATTTGGGAAATCCTGGATTGAATACTATTCAATGGTTTCCTTCTTGTAAGAGTTCTCAAAGCCCTAGATATACCAATATTCCAGAGGGAAGATACCTTTAAGCATTGTTCAAAATTACTTGGCCAACAAAACGATCTTTTTCCTCTAGAGTGTCCCATCAAACTACTCTTCTGGTAAATTACTTGAGAAATACAGTTGTAAGTAATTTCATTTATTCCATTCATCAAATATTTATTACGCACCTACAATGTGTCAAGCCTTGGGTTAGACCCACAGATGCAAGTGTGTACAAGGCAGATATATTCTTTGTCCTCACAGAGCCACGTTGTCTTGATGAAGTCCAGCAACAATAGACAGATCAACAGAAAATATGTAACATAAATGTAGGCAAGGAAACAGTGAATGTGTTGACAGGGAGATTAAAGAGGGGGACCTGT